TGTCATCAATTAAGTGGTACTACATAGGATGTCATCGTTGTGACAAAGGGTACAACAATAGTTCTGACTCCCCAAGATGTGATTGTGCGGTTTCATTCCCCAAACCAATATCAGTTTCTCACCTTACATTCCAACAATTAAAAATAATATGATATAAATAACATATATGCCACTGACTATTTTACAATGCTTTAGGTATAAACTCCCCGTGACAATCACAGATAAATCAGGGAGTTTAGATGCAGTGGCATTTTCTTTTGTTGCTGAAGATTTAGTTGAGCTTGATGCAGCCCAAGCTTCTCAGAACATGAAGATAGACTCAGTTGATCATCTAGTAACTCTTAATAAAGCCATTGCAAAAACAAGACTTTTTACTATAGGAATGAATACTGATTCATCTTCTAAGTTCCCTATTAGCTATGTGTTCAAAAGGAGTTTCTCAATTGATGATACTATGCCAAATCCTCTGCTGACATCTGAAAAGGTTAGTAAATATCATCTGAAGATGCTATTTATCATTGGTTCAATATTTCAACTGAATTAGCTTTAACTATCTAACTAATTCACCTCTCCAAGAACAAAGATCAACTCCAACTCCCACCACCTATGACATATACAAGTAGCCCAAGGTTTACTGTTCTCTCAATTTTTTCTATTCATCATATCCATATAAAACTATACTTACTAACTACTAATGGCAAATTCATTTCAGCACAACTATTGATAATACAGGATTATCCAAAGATAGTACACCTCCAGAATCATCTGCAGCTGTCAACATATCCACAGAAAAGAACATGTCAGAATTATATATTCTAACTACTTAATTAAATACATGCATTTATTCATTAAATCTATTATATATTTCAGCAGCACATCTACAAAACGAAGCATTGATTTCAGTGAGGACTCCACTGACAAAACTAAAAAGGTATACCTCTACTGCACATAGCTCATTTAGTTATTTAAATTTCTCAGTTACAGTTTATCCCTTGCAATAATTTTCTTCTTCATGGCAGTATCAAACAACTTGATCTATCTGCTGCCAAACGTCAGAAGGAAGAGTACATACTTCTAACCCACCTTCCAAATTGCAAAGTTAAACTATAATGCTAATTCCAATTTCTTATGAACCATTTCAAACAGCAAAAAGCTCCAACCAGCAAAGAAGGATAAGCTCACACAGAAATCTGCATGATATGCATGGTACTTGCTCTTCACAGTACTTCAGATACAATACATCATCATACAAGCAAATCTTATTATCATTCATTCTAATACATTGTCCAACAAAATTTGCAGGTCGATACATAGCATACAACTTAAAGCCTGAAGATGCTTCCGAATAATCATCTCTGTTGGTTACTATTTCCGCAATCATCATCTATTGTAATTTGTTTTCGTTGCCAGACTATGTCCAAACTAAACACTCTAAGTGCTTCCAAATAATCATATCCATTGATTAATGCTTTCTTATTATTGATCCATCCCAGCTTCCTTTCATTCTAACAAAAACTTTCGTGTACCCTATCAAATAATCAAAGTAATATTCACATATTGTCTTACTTTACAGTCCTTTTGCTTTCACTACAAACTATTCTTCTAAATTTTTTCTACAAGGTTCCGCAGCAACGCGCGGGTTACCTTCTAGTTATTGAAAATTAATCATGCCATATAATTTGATTAGAGCATCACCAAAACTGATTTTGAGGGATTTTAGTAAAAAAAAATAGATCCAACAGATCCCCTACTCTGCTACCCGAGTTTTGAGTTCCCTTTTCCCGATTCCTCGCTACGTTTATATGTGGGCACAAAACTCGCTCCCAATCTTGCACTCCTGCCTCTCTCATCCCGTTCCCGCGCGTGGAGATAGCGATCTTTCTGCGCATGAAAGAAAAAAACTGAAATTTTCTGTTGGTAGTTTAACAGAAGAGCCCACTTTTAAGTTTTGGGGATTGAATTTAGGCTATTGTTGGAGGGAGGAGTTTTTTCACTTCCTATTTTCAGTTTAGGAAACCCAGAAACAATTTTTTGAGGAAAGATTATACGTAAGCTGTTGGTGATGCTCTTAATACATTACATCTTTTTATTCGTAAACAACATATCATTTGGTAACAAAATCCTAGCGCTTATGGCTCATATTCATTTTTGATGAACCATGAAAGGGCTATCGGTGGGGTGAATATCTAGCTTTGAACATGATTTGTTTTGATTCCCATTGCAACGCACGGGCACACAACTATTTATGAACAAATTAACAAATTACCATTGTACATCGTTTGCTATATTATTTATATGTGATTGAGAAAAAATCATTTTACTCCCGTGAACTAATTCAATGGAACACTTAACCCTCTAAAGTATTTTTTTATCTCATTTTACCCCTTAAACTATTAAAAATGGTTCACTTTACTCTTGAAACAACATCTCTTTTTGTTGCTTTTTTGTATTTTAAGTTGAAATTTGTCATGGCTATTTGGTTGAACTTTAAAATTTTGATGTTTAAATCAATCTTGAGTGCTTTAAACCCACATAAACAGGTAAAAAATGAAAGAAAAAAAATATTGGAAGCGCAAGTTGTGAATGCATCTATGTTCTATCAAATTTTCAGTGCAAAATAGTTCTTGGTGTAAAATAAGAAAAAAAAAGAGAAATAGAGTTAGGGGAGTGAAGTAAACCATTTTCCATAGTTTGGAGTGTAAAATGAACCCAAAAAATAGTTTATTGGGTTAGGTGCTTCGGTGAAATAGTTTAGAATATCTACTAGAAAAACGATTTTTACCGATATTGGCTTTTATTTTTTCAGGCGGACAAAAAAATTATCCTATAACCATTTGCGAAAATAGCTAAAGAACCTCTATATTTAACCCCGTATGCGAAAATCATTTTTTCTAGGCGGACCCCTTAAGAGGTCCACCTGCGAAAATAAAGGTATTTTCACATGCGGATCACTTAAGGGGTCCGCCTGAAAAAAAATATGATTTTCGTAGGCGAAAACTTATGTGGTTGCCTGCAAAAATCATGTCTGCAAAAAAAAATATCTAAGTACCGTCCTTATCTTCTCCTCCACCTTCCTATCCTCTCCACCACTCATTTCCATCCCGCTCCTCTCTCTCTCTCTCATCACGCATCAGATGATTGTGGTCACCCCGAGTCTTATACCATCTAGTGTCCAACGTGACCACAACATACTATTGGAGAAGTGGGATCCATACACGCATAAATAGCCACTCGTCCTCAATGTGTCCATGATCGCGGTTGACAACCTTCTGTTATAATAACCAGAATGTCGAATAGTGAGTACAAGACATAACCGTAAGATAGCTTGCTAGTCCACTCCGTCATATGCCTGTCAACTACTCGAAGGTGGCGACCAAAAGCATACCCCAGTGACTCGATCCAAAGTGCTATCCCATATTATCTCAAGCGATCAAAACCCGTTACTCATGCTTAGCTAGTCCCCAGGAATGCGACTAGCCTCACACTTTCATCGCAAGCAACTAATAAACATACCAAGTACCATAATAGGGTTAAAGTGCAACGAGGTACATAACACATAATAGGGTCCGAGGTCCCAACATTCAACACATAAATATAGCAGTTGAAGTCTCAAATAATAAACAAAAGCATAAAGAAAAACCGGTGGCGCCATAACCCCACTAGGGCAAACCAACCGGGCAAGAGCCAAGCTGCAAGAGATCACTCATTGCCCTCGCCGCCATCGGCAGAGCAATGACCACACAAGAAACATAACTGATAACCGGAATCCTCTCCTGAAATTGTAGACACCGGGTTAAGTACAAGATTGTACTCGCAAGTCTTACCCAAAATTATATATATACATAAGGGAGAGAGAAGTATGCAAGCTTTCTAGCCAATAGTGGGTCTCTAGGTTCAACATTTACATAAAGCTAATTTTATTGAGCAATTAATGAGTAAAATAAGCAAGGACAAGTAAATCTAGTATCATTTTAATTTATGGACAATAAGTATATAATTATAATTCTGAAATGTATAAGCAAATGAGCCCAAACGGCACTCTCATCATCAACCATGGACTACCAAAGTCCATACCAACATGGCACAACATGCCAACACCACCATCAAACATAATCCCATCCATAATAATCCACATTTGATACTAACATAACTGACTAACACATCAAGCATTGTCCATAACCGAGGACATGGCTATTCGAATAGATTATATTCTGATCAGAGGTGTACAACTGGACCCACACGAAATGAACAAAGATCCAATGCTACACACCCCGTCGAGTGCGGTACACAAGTGATTCAAGCTCATTACATGCCCTTTCTTAGCCCCACCCCAACCACCTATACCACACTGGGGTTCCCGACGACTCAGTCACATGCGTGCATGATGTGACCAAGGCGGGCACGCCACGCGGGAGGCGCCCCCGGCCAAACCTAGGCACTCGAGGCCCTCCAAAGGCTACCTGCCTCACGACTCTCCAACGTGGTATAAACGATCACAGTAGAACTAGTAAGAACAAGCCGGTCCCAAATAAGGCATGTGGTAAGTACGTAGGGTGCTTGATTAGATGTCAAAATGTTTGGTCCTTAACGACGACCTAGACGGGGCTACTTGCATCAGGGGAAACCAACCTCCCATCATCGCCCTATCACCCGTCCAAGTTCAACATATTTCATCAACCATTATTTAGTGTAAGTGCTCAAGTTTTATGCCCAATAATGCAAGTTGTTTATATACCACAATTAATAGCACTGTCCATCCCTATAGTTCTATTAGCACTAAGCATGGCTAAGCATTAATGAATAAGACATCCCAAGTAATTCCAACCAGCGGTAATAGGATATAAGGGCAGCAATAACACAATAACTAAATGCATAAATAGGTTCTACCCATACACCATAAACCGACAATATTAATATCTAGGCAATGCATGCATATATATACGTATAGATTGCAACCAAATCATTTTTAGAGAGAAAGTATAGGTTCTATATGCTTAGGTGCTTGCCTTGCTGCTGTGTGGAAACACACTCAACCTCAGAGTCTCGCTCCACGAACTCCGAATTCTCCGAATCTACCGATAAGAGGCAAATATGCAAATAAGATTCAAATAAACATGCATATGCAACATGCTCTATAAATCATAAATCATGGCCTAATTACAATAGGTAGAGAGTATGATAAACTGGTTTTAGAAACAAGAATCATCTCATTTACATTTGTGGTTTGAGAGATATAAAAATAACAAGCCATACACTGAAAATGGCATTTCTATAATTACATATGAACTACCCTAGGTCATATGAAATGCTGACATTTTCTAGTTAGATTTCACAAGTGCTATCATTTTTAATTCAAAAATCATAACCCACTGGTTCTAAAAAAACTTGGCTCACTATATTTTGAGTTAAAATATTTAGTTATGAGTTTTACAACTTTAATAAAAAGAGGATTACTTAATCGCTTTAGACTTACTTTAGGAGGTAGTTTTGTCAAATTATTCCTTTTCAGATAAAAGATTATATCTTTATAAGGTAACCAAAAGTGGTTTCATAATTTTAGGATATAGCATAAAGTTCCTAGAGATTATACAACTCCTCGGTGCAAAAATAAGTGTTTTTACGAAACTCACAATTTTAGTGACTTTTTCGGTACCGAAGTTGTAATGTTTTAATTTACAAACATAAAGACTACAAAATTATGAATACATAGAAATTTGGTTCACTCGAAAATGAGTTAAGATGAATTAGTTATGGAATTTTGAAGTTTTCCTAGTTCTCATATATGTTTTCAATTATTCTTTTGGACTGTACTTTTGCATGTCGAACCCTGAGATTTCTAAAACTTGCAACAGGTCCAGGTTCTTCTCCACTCGAGCAGGAAGCAGCGACAGCCATGGCTGAGCTCGATCTCAAGCTCGCCGGCGGCAAACGGCGGCTCTAATGGGGGCGAGGTCAAAAGATAAAATGTAGAGCAACACATTGTGATTCCATTCCTCAACTTTTCCCCAGCCAATGGTGACTGGAACGACGCAGGCGGCGGCTGCAATCGGAAGCGCTCGGGACGCCATGCATGCATCAATGCGTCACGGTGGACGGCTCGATCTATTGCATGCATGTCAAGAACATCACATGCAGGATGTAGAACACCACCTAAGGTTGCTACTACTGCAAGAAATCGACAAATGGCTCACCGGTTGAATGGGAATCGACGACGGAGGCGCTAGATCGGAGTTGGAGAAGACGGTGGTCGATCTCCCTCCTCGCTGCACGGTTCTGAGGGATTCTTGGGGCGTTTGGAGAGGATGGTGAGGCGAAGCTGGTGGAGCAGCAGCTCAGCCGGATTCGCCTCGAGGCGACGGGAACAGCTGCGCGAACCCGCGGCTGCGCGTTGACGACGGTGTAGCCGCGCTCCAGAGCTCCCGTGGCGAGGTCGGCGTTCCCAGAGATCGGCTGCAAGAAACGGGGCGAGATCAGAGAAGAGGCTATGGCGTGCAAGGGTGAATCGGGAACAGAAGAAAGATGGCGACGACGATGACCCGTTGGGCGGCGGTGATGGCATCATCCCGGCGGCAGGCAAGAAGATGATGGCGAGGAGAGCAAGAAGGAGCTCTCCCACTCTGGTTTCTTGGATCTAGGGTGGACTACAGAGTGAGGAGGGATGGCTGGGAAAGCTAGAGAGCAAGGGGGTGAAGAAGGAGAAGCTGCCACGATGTTGCAACGTGTCGGTATTTCTCTCTATATTCAAGGTGGGTCCCACGCGATAAAATGGTGGAACACGTGTGAGCAAGCCAAAGGCACTGCCATGTGGGTCCAGGTCGTGGTAGACTAGGTAAGGGTGAGGAGAATGGCTAGGAACACAGGTAAACACATGTTTTATTCAGTTTATAGGATTTTCAGAGATTTTTCTGTTTCTTTTTCATTGAAGTTCAAATTGACCAAGTTAAAATGATGCTAAAAATTTGATGATTTTTGTAGTGACTAGCAAAATGCCCGTGCTTCGCTACGGTGTATTGAACTAAAAATATTTGTTTTTAAGCGAAGTTATTTTCCCACTGTTTTGGTACTGTTTTGCTCGCTAGAAAAAGTCTCAAATGATAGAGAGAAATATAGTACCTCATAATAAATTATTATTCAATAGTGCGTTGCAACGGGAAAAATTAATATTATTAACTTAGTAAAGTAATAAAAAAAGAGCATCCACGTTAGCTCTTATAGTCTAGAAATTCTCATATTAATATTATTTAATTTTAGTCTAAATTTAAATTCTATATCATGACAAATAAACAATTACATTTTTAGTCGAAAAATAAATCAATATCTTGAGAAAACTCTAGCCAAATTTTTAGTTAATTCAGTTTAGTTGGAATTAAATTAATAAGCAGTAATAAATAATTAAAATGGTACTAATGCTATTTCTGAAAATACAAAGATGCTTAAAATTACTGAGAGAGAAAACACTTATTTTATCCCATCCCAAACTTGCAGGCCCATTTGGAGGCCCAATAGTGCGGCGGCCCAATGTGAGAGAAGCCGAAGCCGTCCGATCGAATGGACGGTCTAGATTGATCCCAACCTATAAAAATATCTGCAGCCAAAACCCTAACCCTAAATTTCATTTCCTCCCTGCCCCCGATCCCCTCTCTCTCTCTCGATCGAAAAGCGACGACGGCGCCCCGACCCCCCACGAGCGACTGCGGCGGTGCCCTTCCCCCACTCTCCACGAGCCGCTGCGGCGGTGGCCTCCCCCCAACGAGCGGCTGCCGCGGCGCCCTCCGCCCCGTCTCACCTCCCTCACCGGTAGCCGCTCCCTCCGGCCCATCTCGCCTCCCTCTCCCTCTCGTCTCCTCTCGCAGTGGCGGCGGGTTGGCGGCGGATTTGAGGATGGTGGTGGCGTCAACGGCAGGTGTGGGCAGATCTAGCGGCGGCGGCTCCCTCCGCCCCCTCTCAACTCCCTCTCGCGGCAGATCCGGCGGCGGTGGCTGGATCCGTCGGTGGTGGCGGCAACCGTGGGCGGATTCGGCTACTATATTTTCCTCTATCATTTGAGACTTTTTCTAGCAAGCAAAAGTACCAAATCAGTGTACAAATAACTTCGGTTAAAAATATATATTTTTAGTTTTAATACACCGTAGCGAAGCATGGATATTTTGCTAGTAAGATAAAATGCACGGTAGATGAAGAGTTGATTTGGCCAATTAAAAACCTACTTATTCATCTGCTTTGCTGCATTGAGATTTGTGAAGATAGAGCTGATTTCTGTAATTTCTTACGTGGGTCCAACAGGTGATGCTAGCGGTGCACTTCGTTTTTCTGCTGCACACGCGTCCACCCGAGCCGAGAGCCCGAGAGAGCGGCGCCTCGAATTCCTCGATTCTTCCGCCCCGCTCTTATCCTTTCCCTTTCCTTCTCCAATCTCCACCGCCCGCTTATTTCCTTATCTCTTCCGCACGCGCTCCTCTCAGCCGGCGACGCCATCCCTCTCCCTCCACCAACGACGCCGCTCCCCTCCTGCTTCCCTCACCAACGACGCCGCTCCCCATACCCCTTAGCCGCCCTTTCCCGGCGGCCGGAACTTGTGATTCATTTTCTCTCATTTCTGTACGTAATTCTTGGCTCAAATGAATCGGATTTGATCTCTAGTTCAACGGACGTGTTTGATCTGTACGGGAGCGAGGCGGGGCGATGCATTATTGCGGACGGGGGAAATCAGGACAACAACGGACGGAGCAAAAGTGCCCGTGCGTTGCACCGGATGATTACGAAGCGTGTACCGTGAATAAAAAGTGTTGTTTGGTTCAGTGGCGGACGCAGTTTTAAAATATAGATGGGGCGGAAAACGGAGATGTTCACTTGATAAGAGCAATCGAACACAACACATATCGTATTAATAGTTCATTCGTATAAGTGTCTCAATCTGTTAGGTGTTTATACCTTGTCATACCTAATTTTGATTGTCCATGACTACTATAAGGGGATAAGGGGGTCTTGAGAGTGTGGGGCGACACGAGTCGTAGCTGAGTCGGTCGACCCATCCCGCCTAATGGGTAGATTCGCCCCTGGTTTAATTTAGACATCTAATATGGTCAAAAAAAATTGTTTGTTTTTAGATAAATAATCTGCTTTATATTTGCGGAATATACATGATGTTTAGTTTGGATGATTTGTAGCATGGGAGAAAATAGATGGACAAACAATGCACGTGCAGAAAAAATAGATTATTTATTTGGAGTTAGTACATTTTTTTAAGAAAAAATCATGTGTGTTGCAACGGGAAAGATTAACAAAAACAAATGAAATTTGGAATTAAAAATATAGGGAATATTGAAAGATGGGTTTAGAGTTCATATAGAAATAAAATTTAGAAATAATAGAAATTATAAATTATATTGGATGAGAAGTCTAGAATATTCTCCAAAAGAGGGTAGAAATTTAGAAAAAGAATTGAAATTCGAAATAAAAACGAATATTTTTTGAAAATAAACAGTCATAAACGATTAAAATGGTATTAATGCTATTTCTGAAAATTACAAAAATACTTAAAATCAATAAGAGAGAAAAAACTGATTTAAGCCCGGCCCAATAGAGTGGCCTTCTATGCTTCGCACGTGCGGTCGGCCCATAGGATGGCCCAATAGCGCGGCGGCCTAAAACGTCGCCCGGTCCGACGTGGGAGAAGCATGGACCGTCCGATCTGATGGACAGTCTCGATTGGTTCTGACGTAGATAAATACCTACAACCTTAACCCTAACCCTAAAATCTCTCTCTCTCTCTCGATCCCCTAACGCGCTCTCTCTCTTTCTCTCTCGTAAAGCAACGGCGGCGGCGGCGACTATTCCAACGGGCGACGACGGCAGCGGCCTTCCCCACCGAGCAGCGACGACGACGTCCTTCTCTCCCGCAAGCGGGCAGCGGCGCCCTGCCCTCCTGCAAGTGGCGGCAGTGGTGGCGCCTCTACCTCTCCCCACTACAGGCTCCTTCTCTCCTCGTCAAGCGGTGGCCGCCGCCTCGCTCCTTGCTATATCCGGTGGGTCGACGGCTCTCCAATGGCGCGACGCTCGGGATTTGGCTCCTCCCTCTCCCTCTCGGCATCCAACGCAGTGATGGATTGGCAGCTTCTTGGCGACACGATGGCACAGCGGATCCCCGACGCAGCGTCGATCATTGGTTCAGAATCTAGCCCCCCGAGTTTGCGACCTCCACTGCAGCGAGGTGGTGAGAAGCAGCACGCGACGGCCTCATCTTGTGTTAATATTTTTTATGTTCTTTGATTTCGATTTATATCTGGACTGTGATTTTGTTTTTATTTGGATTGTGATGATTTAACTTTTCAAATAATATTTTACTATTCATTTTATTCAATTGTGTAAATAAGCAAAAGTATAAGTCATACTAAAAATATCATTAATATAAAATCCCAATAATCGAGGCGAGTCAATCGAGCTGGCGGGGCCCACGCGAGTAGATAAGGTTCGATCTCGATCCATCCAGTCGCCGCCCCCTCCCTACCACTCCAGTCGCCGCCCCTCCGCCCCCTCTCCCCACTTCCCTCCTCCTTCGCCCCCCTCTCTCAGCCGGCCGGCCGGCTACTTCCCTCCCCCTCCACCCCCATCTCCTAGCCGGCCGGCCGTTTCCCTCCGGCGAGCAGCGACGCATGCGACCGCAGCCCAGCTTCATCTCCTCTCTCGGCTTCTCCCTTCTCTCAGCTTCCCCACTTCTCCCCCCACTCTCTCTCCACTTCTCCCCCTCTCTCTCACTGCGGCGGCGGCGGGAGGGGCGGCGACTCCCTCCCCTCCGCTACATCGGGGGGAGGGGAGGTGCGGCGGCGGTGGTGGCGGACGTCATGGAGGGGGCGGGTAGGACGGCGTGGAGGCGGCCGGCCGGGCCTTGCCTCCGCCAGATCCGGCGGCGTGGAGGCGGTTGCGGCCCGGCGGGGGCGGGAGGGGCGGCCGGCCAGGCCTCGCCTCCGCCAGATCCAGCGGCGTGGAGGCGGCTGTGGCCCGGCTGGGGCGGGAGGGGCGGCCGTCTGGGCCTCGCCTCTGCCAGATCTAGCGGCGTGGAGGCGGCTGGCCGGGCCTCTCCTCCGCCAGATCCGGCGGCATGGAGACGGCTCCGGTCCGGCGGGGGCGGGAGAGGCGTCGTCGTCGTCTCTTTCTCTCTCTCTCTGCATGGTGGGGAGGTGCGGCGGCGGCGGCGTCGGACGTCATGGAGGCGGCCAGTCGGACGGCGTGGAGGCGGCCGGCCGGGCCTCGCCTCCGCTAGATCCGGCAGCGTGGAGGCGGCTGCGGCCCGGCGGGGGCGGGAGGGGCGGCGGGCCGGACCTCGCCTCCGCCAGATCCGGTGGCATGGAGGTGGCTGCTGCCCGGCGGGGACGGGAAAGGTGGCGGCGGAGTCTCTCTCTCTCTGTGCATGGTGGCGGTGGAGGTTCATGTGTTCTTGGTTGAAATGTTTTTTGTTATGTGTGTTGTTGATGGAATGTTTCATGTGTGCTTGATGAATTTCGACTGGAGTTTTTCTTGGGGGGCGGATGAAAAATCCCCGCATTTGGTTGTGTCGATTTTGGGAATTGTTTCTGTGAGGGATTGGAGGGATTGGGATTTGGGGGCTGCGGGCGAAGGCGCACCGCGAGGGACGAAGGCGCCCTTCGCCCGACTTGTGACGACAGGAAAAATCCGAAAAAAACCGGACGGCCCAAAAA